AAAGTCATAGTCTCCCTTGGTTTAAAACCCAAATCTGATAGAACATTTTGTATCCATAAAAGTTCACAAACTCCTAGTGTCATGCCTCTAAACTCAGCTTCAGCACTAGACCTTGCTACTACCTATTGTTTTTTACTCCTCCAAGTTACAAGATTCCCCCTACAAATGTAAAGTAACCAGAGGTAGACCTTCTATCATTTCTTGAACCTGACCAATCAGAGTCGGTATACCCTTATACCTTCAAGTTTCCATGATTTGAGAATAAAATTCCTTTTCCAGGAGTGGACTTCAAATATCTCAAGATCCTTTCAACAGCATCCATATGAGCTTTCCGTGGATCATGCATAAATTGACTAATGACATTTACTGCATATGTAATATCTGGCCGTGTATGAGACAAGTAAATTAGTTTTCCCACTAACCTCTGGTATTTTCCTTTGTTTATGCTGGCTGAATTTTGGCATTGAAATAGCATATGATTTTGTTCAATTGGGGTATCAACAGGTTTACACCCAAGCAGTCCCGTTTTAGATAGTAAGTCAAGAGTATACTTTCTCTGGCATAGAAAAATACCATGTTTAGATCTAGCTACTTCAATACCCGAGAAATATTTGAGGTTTCCAAGTTGCTTCATCTTAAATTCAGAAGCGAGGTATTTTTGCAAACTAGACATCTCATCTTGGTCATTCCCTGTAACAATCATATCATCTACATAAATAATCAAAGTTGTAATTTTACCTCCTCCTTTCTTCAAAAATAAGGTGTGATCAGAGTTACTTGCTTTATAGCCAAAAGCCTTCATAGACTTAGTAAACCTACCAAACCATGCTCTTGGGGATTGTTTTAATCCATATAGAGCCTTTCTTAACTTGCAAACGTTCATCTCATTTGAATCTATCATACCTGGTGGTAGATCCATATAAATTTCTTCTAAAATTTCTCCATGTAGGAAAGCATTTTTCACATCAAATTGTAGAAGAGGCCAATCTTGGTTTGCTGCTAGTGATAAAAGTATTCTCACAGTGTTGAGCTTGGCTACCGGCGCAAATGTCTCTTGATAATCTACACCGTAAGATTGAGTGTAACCTTTAGCCACTAGTCGTGCTTTATACCTCTCAATAGTCCCATCAGCTTTGTGTTTAATTGTATAAACCCATCTGCACCCCACAGTTTTCTTCCCTTTTGGTAATGTCACAAGATCCCAAGTGTTGTTTTTTTTCTAAAGCTGCCATTTCCAAAACCATTGCTTCAGTCCATCTAGGATGTGCTAAAGCTTCCTGCACATTACTAAGAATAGAAATTGAGGATAATTGAGATACAAATGATGCATATGACTTAGATAACTTGTGAGATGACACATAATTACTAATGGGATATTTAACTTTGGACTGAAGGTCTGGTTCATATATAATGGGAGGTTGACCACGGTTAGAACGAGGTGGAAAGATTATATTGGACAATAATGGATTCAGTGTTAGGTGTGTTGGTGGTCTCATGGAAACTAGGGTCAATTTCATGATCAATTTCATGAGAAAATGAATCAACTTCAGAATGAACATTAGTACCTACTTCAGAATGAACATTAGTATCAACTCCATTGATAATTGTATTATCGGGAATAGAATTAGGAAATACCTCTGGAGATTTAACTTGATCTTGTGGAGAAGATTGAGCTAGTTGATTATCGTCAGGGGAAACTGTATTATCTAAAGGTGATGTGTCCATATTTGAGATTGATTCATTACCTACAGAATGATCCTCACAAGATAATTTATCTTCACAAAATAAGTCAAACATGCTAACATCATGGTGCTGCACTTCACTTTCATTCCCCCCTTGAAGTGTAGAATCAACATAGAAAAAGTTATCTTCATGAAAAGTTACATCCATTGAAATATAAATTTTTTTAGATGATGGATGATAAGCACGATAACCTTTTTGAGTTGATCCATACCCAACAAAGACACATTTAAGAGCTCATTTTTCAAGTTTTGTACGTTGATGTGGGTGTAAGTGAACATATATAACACATCCAAAAACATGAGGTAGTAAATGAACAATGGAAGGGAGAACATGATGATCAGATGAAACATCTAGAGGTCTTCTAAAGTTATGCACACTATAGGGGGTTCGATTAATTAAGTAAACTGCTTAATTCACAGCCTCGCCCCACAAATGAGATGGAACATTACCATCAATTAGGAGTGTTCTAGTAACTTCTAATATGTGTCTATTTTTCCTCTCGACCACCCCATTTTGTTGGGGGGAATAAGGACATGTTGTTTGATGCAAAATGCCCTTAGAGTTCAAAAAATCTTTTAATTCTTTCTTAAAATATTCCCCTCCATTGTCTGATCTAATTACCTTAATACATGTGTTAAATTGTGTTACTATCATTTGATGAAAGGAGCGAAGCACGTCATACACATCACTTTTATGTTGTAGCAAATATATCCAGGTTACCCGTGTACAATCATCAACAAAACTAACAAACCATTTTTTCCATTATGTGTAGATTGTGGAGCAGGACCCTAAACATCAGTGTGTACTAAAGAGAAAGGAAAGTCTGTTTTCTTATTACTCAAGGGAAAAATAGCACGATGACTTTTTTCCATAACACAAGTTTCACAAAGAAAATCTGAAATATTGCATTTATGAAATAACGATGGAAACAATTTTTTTAGATAACTAAAAGAGGGATGCCCCAATCGTCTATGCCATAGCCAAATTTTTTTTTTTATTTTGATCTTGTATGTGATCACTTGCAAGATGAACCAATGCTCTTTTATGGCTTTGTGAAACTTTTTCAAGATAATACAGTCCTTCACTATATCTACCACTGCCAATCTTCTCCTTGGTATGTATATCTTGAAAAACACAGTGGGTTGGATAAAACACAGCGACACATGAATGTGATTTTGTTAATTTACTGACGGAGATAAGATTGCAATTTAAGGTAGGAACAAATAAGACATTAGGTATTGATAGGGAGGGTGATAGAGTCACTGTACCAACACCTTTAATGGGAGATTCCACTCCATTGGCAGTAATAATAACAGTTTTATGACAATTAGGAGAGAAATTAGTAAACATGTGTTGATCACAAGTCATATGATCAGTAGCACCTGTATCGATTATCCAATCGCTATTTCTAATAATAATAGAAGGATTATGAGCAGAGTTAGACATACCTGACTTGGTTACGAAGCCGGCAGCAGTAGAAAGATGAGCCTTGCTGTTTTCTATCTTATTATTCGAAGTATTTTTTCCCTTTGGATGCCACTCCGGGTAGCCATGGAGCTTAAAACATGTCTCCATGACATGATTATCTCCATTACAGTGATTACACTTGCGGATTTCTTTCTTCGGATACTTCTTGACAGCTAAGGCGGAACCATTCGAAGACTCACCGCTTAGCATAGCTTCTTGGCAATTCGCCTCTGCACATACAATTGCATAGACTGATTGAACATTAGGAAGCGGAGTGGTAGCCAGAACACGACCACGAACTCCATCCAAATGTGAATCCAAACTAGTCAATAAAACATAAACTCGTTGAGAATTAACCATCTTATTGTATTTCTCAACATCTTTAGTGCATTCCATGGTACAATTATTAATACTATCGTACTCTTGCCATAGCCTCTGTAATTTTCCAAAGTATGTAATAACAGATCCACCATTTTGTTGAGTAGAGATTACCTCACAGTGCAATTGATAAGCTCTTGATGCATCTTGGTCGACGGAGTACGTTTGTTTCGCAGTTTCCCAAATTTCCTTTGCCGTAGCTAAGCGAATGAAAAGATATCTGATTTCTTTGGTCATGGAGTCAAGAAGCCAAGACTTGACCAAGCAATTTTCATCTTCCCATGCTTCATATTCATCGGGTTTATCTTTTGCTGGTGCAGTCTTTGTTCCGATAACGTAACCCCATCGTTTTCTGCCTCTGATTTTGTTCTGTGCATTTAACGACCATTCGACGTAGTTAGTACCGTCAAGCCGTTCTGGGGTGAGTGCATCGTTGAATTGGACAACAGCTGAAGTTCCAGAATTCTCCGATTTGTTTTTATCAGAAGCCATCAGAAATTACTAAGAAATAAAAAAACCGTCGTTTCTATATTGAAAGAGAGACGGTGTTGGCTCTAGATACCATATAGAACATTTCAAAGTAATAATTCTGATGATTTTATTCATTGATCAATGTACTATATATACACAAAAGAGTCCCTATAATTCCTCTTCTATTAAGGGAATGAAATAAATTATTTACAGCACAAATATTTTCCTACTTAATTTAGCTAAAATATCTTTGACTTATCTTAACATTTTAATCATATAATTCATATTGATTTTTTAATGTGGTTATGTTAGGGAGTTGAGTTTTAAATAGTTTTAGAAGAGAAACCTTTAGAAGATTGCGTCTATATCTTGAAAATGGTTTGATATTTTTAAAAGATTTAAAAAACAATATGATTTTATATACTAATGTACTATATTATTTTTTAAATTTTTTTAAAATAATACACGCATTTTAAAATATAGACACAGCCTTTCAAAACTTTCTTCACTAAAATTTTTCAAAAACCAACTCCAAAACGGACATTTAGAAAAAAAATTGATTTTCTTTAATACCACAATAGTAATAATCATGTTAATCAAGATCAATAATTAAGTTTTTACCATAATTGTTTTATTTTGATTGGTATTGTTTTTAGCTCATTAACGTATTATTCTACACAGGCTGGCCCTGGAGTTAACGATAAAACAGAAGATAATTAAAAGGAATAGAAAAAATAAATAAAATAATTCCAATCCATGTCCCAATTCTTTCTCTGCGAATCAATTTTCCTCCAAAATCTTGCTAGCCCTAACACACTCTTACGAATTCCCATCCAATTTCTTCAATTAAGAAAATAAAATCCCAATTCGAATCAAAAACCGCTAAATTCCGGTTCTACAAAACCCTACTTTTCTAACCCCGCCGGCGACACCGCATCTTCATGCGAGATCCCCTTTCTCCTCCGCCGTCTTCCGGCGACGACGGCGATCCTTACGGCTCTTGGTATGGCAACATCGACTACCTTCTAAATATATCCGCGATCGGCGCTTTGTTCTGTCTCTTGATTTTCCTCTTGGTAAAGCTAAGGAGCGACCACCGCCGTATGCCTGGCCCCGCCGCCATTGGTAGCAAGCTTCTTGCCGTATGGCACGCCACTGGACGTGAAATCGCCCGCCACTGCGGCGCCGATGCTGCTCAGTTTCTTCTCACCGAAGGTGGAAGCTGCGCGGTTCTCTTGTCCGTTGCGTCTTTGGCTCTCGTTGTTTTGCTTCCGGTTAATCTCCACGCCGGAACCTCGGTGTTGGATGATCAATTCTCGAAGACAACTATTAACCATATTCCTAAAGGTTCGCCTCTGCTTTGGATTCATTTCATTTTCGCTGTTGTCGTTGTTTTATTGGTTCATTTCGGTATTTCGGCCACGGAGGAGAGATTGAGGATCACTAGGTTTAGGGATGGTTATGGTAATTTGAGTGATCCCACTGTGAATTCTAGTGCTATATTTACTATAATGGTTCAGGGGTTGCCTAAAATTATTGGAGCTGATAGGGCTGCTTTGCAGGAGTATTTCCAATATCGATATCCTGGTAAGGTTTTTAAGGTTATTGTGCCAATGGATTTGTGTGCATTGGATGGTTTGGCCACCGAGTTGCTGCTTGTGAGGGATGAGATTTCATGGTTGGTGGCTAGGATGGATTCTCGCTTGTTACCGGATGATTGTGAAGAGGATGCTTGTGTTGGTGGGAGTGTGAATCTGGGTTTGTGGAGTTGGGTTGTTTCTTGTCGGAAGCTATTGAAAGGTTTTTTGGCTGACATTATGGCTAGATTTGGTCAGACTGATGAAGAGAGGTTGAGGAAATTGCAGGAGCTGAGGGCTGAGTTGGAGACTGAGTTGGCTGCTTACAAAGAAGGGCGTGCGCCGGGTGCTGGTGTGGCCTTTGTTATGTTCAAGGATGTGCACACTGCTAATAAGGCTGTTCAGGATTTTCAGAACGAAAAGAAGAGGCGGGTTGGGAAGTTCTTTTCTCTCGTGGAGTTGCGTTTGAGGAGAAACCAATGGAAAGTTGAGCGTGCACCTTTGGCGAGTGACATTTACTGGAAAAATCTGGGGACGCCAAAGCTGTCGCTGAAATTGCGGAGAGTGTTTGTGAATACTTGTTTGTTATTGATGCTCTTGTTCTTTAGTTCTCCACTTGCTTTGATCAGTGCTGTTCAAAGTGCTGGAAGGATCTTCAATGCCGAAGCTATGGATAATGCACAGATGTGGCTGGCTTGGGTACAGAGCTCTAGCTGGCTTGGAAGCCTTATTTTTCAATTTCTACCCAATGTTATCATTTTTGTCAGCATGTATATAATAATACCATCTGCTCTTTCTTATCTATCAAAATTTGAACGTCATCTGACGGTATCTGGTGAGCAAAGAGCTGTACTCATGAAGTTGGTTTGCTTCTTCCTTGTAAATCTCATTTTGTTGCGGGGTCTGGTCGAATCATCATTAGAGAGTGCCATCCTGAAAATGGGACGGTGCTATTTGGATGGAGAGGATTGTAAGAGGATTGAGCAATATATGAGTGCATCATTCCTGTCAAAGTCATGCCTTTCGTCTCTTGCATTTTTGATCACAAGCACTTTCTTGGGAATATCATATGATCTCTTGGCACCTATTCCTTGGATCAAAAGAAACATTCAGAAGTTTCGGAAAAATGACATGCTTCAGTTAGTTCCAGAACAAAGTGAAGATTACCCGTTAGAACATCAGGACGGAGATAGTCTTCAGAGACCACTAATTCATGGCAGTGCAAATGCTTATGAAACTTCCAATGGGGATAGTGAAGAGGGACAAGATCTTTCTGTTTATCCAATCACTGGAAGCTCACCTAATCCAAAACAAACATTCGATTTCGCACAGTACTATGCCTTTAATTTGACAATATTTGCCCTGACTCTCGTATACTGTTCGTTTAGTCCACTTGTTGTTCCTGTTGGTGCTGTTTATTTTGGGTATAGATATGTAGTGGACAAGTACAATTTTCTGTTTGTCTATCGAGTTCGGGGATTTCCTGCAGGCAACGATGGGAGGTTAGTGGATACTGTAATATGTATCATGCGTTTTTGCCTTGATCTATTCTTACTCGCCATGCTCCTATTCTTCTCAGTGCAAGGGGACTCTATGAAGCTGCAAGCAATTTTCACTCTAGGACTATTAGTCTTGTATAAATTACTTCCTTCCCGTAGTGATAGTTTACAATCAACACTTTTGGAGGGTATTCAAACGGTTGATAATGTTGTAAATAGTCCCATTGATTACGAGGTATTTTCGCAGCCGAGGTTTGATTGGGATACCTCCCAAAGGTGATTCAAGCTTTGATCTTATTCTTGCTGTCAAATAGTGTTGTACCTCCCATACAAAAGCATGTGAGTCAGAAAAGTAGTGATGGGTGGATGGGGTTGAGGGATCGCTCAAAAGCCAAGAAAAAGGGTTCTTATAACTGATATCCATAATCTGCTATACACTCTTCATTTCTACCATCTGTTCCATTTGTCACCCAATTCCAAAGATTGGCCACCATGCTAATGAAAGTACCATGTGATATTTCTGGAAGTTCCCAGCTTTGTGCAAATTTGGGGCGATTGTGTTGTTTCCACTTTATATATATATATACATGCTCATCTCTATGGGGAAATTCTGGGGGAAAATGGACTTGTTTTCGTTAGAGAAATAACAGTGAGAGCCTGTTCCTGACTTCCTTCTACTTCAGACAAGCTTCAGAGAACATGCAGGATCATTCCCAGTCTACTTGCTAATAGTTTGATGTGCATGCCAATATATTTTTTTATTATCAAAAAGCTTAGCTTACTAGTTAGAGAAACGTGATTATTAGACGATATAGATTTGGGAAAAAATGTATACAAATATTTACTGTCAGTTAAGTGACACGTTTATCAACATGCTTCTTTTTTAGTTGTGTTATATGCTCCTTGCATGTTAAGAAAGTGTGATAAGTAAAGAAAGAGAATGGTGGTTTTACTAATATATTCTTATTAATTATTGATGTAATTTCATTCTCATTGTAATAATAAATGTAAAATGGAGAACAATAACTTTAGGGTGTGTTTGGTTGTGAAGAGAGCATGAGAAGAGAGAAAAAGATAAGAAAGGGTGTGAAAAGAGAGAAGGAGGTGAAAAATATACTAGATTTAATGTATTGTTCGGTATAGAATAGAAAGAGAGAAAGACAAAGAAAGAAGTATTAGTTATTTGGGAAAGTACAAATATGCCCCTAAATAAAAAAGAATTTACACAAATCAATTTAATTTTTATTTGATTGCAGTTAATAAATTACATTATAATCAAAATCAAAAGAAATTATATTAATATGTTTAGTTATTTAATTAAGTATATGAGTTTAACTTTAAGGAATTTAAGTAATTAAATTTGTTAGTTTTGTCTAAGAAAATTAACGGCGATTATAAGAGGTATATGTAGTGCTGGTAAAATGGGTCCGGTACATAAGTTTAATAATTTAGCACGGACTAAGCTGTAAAATACTTTAAAAAAATACAATCTTATCTTTTTTGGTTCAGTCTATCGGGACTATGTTTTTTATGGATCGGACTGGACCGATTCAATTGGGTATCGGACTGACTCATTAAAAAATGATTTTGATAAATTTTGGAGAGAAAAAAATTGAGATAAGATATGATTACATAAGTGTGTTTTTAAGTGATAAGGAAAAGTTAAAGAAGATGAAAATATATTTTTCAAAATGATGTGATTAAGGAAATAGTTGTGAGATGAAGAGAAAATTTGATACGTGTATATATATATATATATATATATATATATATATATATATATATATATATATATATATATATATATATATATATATATATATATATATATATATATATATATATATATATATATATATATATATATATATATATATATATATATATATATATATATGATGATAAATATTTTAAGCATCACTTATGTTTATGATGATTCTCTATTTATGTTATGTGGTTTTTCTCTATTACATCCATTTTTATAAAATTAGAACTATAATATTAAAATACGGGCCGGGCTGGCCCATCGGGCTGTACATGCCTTTGAAAAACGGGTCTGACTCAATTTCTGTAGTCTATTAAACAATCGGGTCGGTGAAACAACTAGGAAAAATAATAAACAAATAAGTCGTAATCGAATGTTATTTATTCTAAAGAAGAGAAAGAAAAATATCGATAAACCTGAGAAAGGAGAGAACAAGGTCTTGCGACCAAGAGAATGGTACACGAGTCGATTACGCAAGAGAAAAATATTAGCATCTCTCACGTCTGTGATACTCTACAAGATCTACTATTGTATTCTAATTAAATGGTGTGTTTTACTTCTAAAGTTTACAAGTTAAAGAAATGCATGAGAATGAATTGTTTAACAAACAAAAAGAAAAGAAAGTTTTTTATTATTGTGCTCGTCTCAATTTCGAAATTTTGAGCCTACGTATCTCCTTCGTGTAATAGAGAATAAGAGCGTCGTAGTTCTTCTAAAAATGTTAGTTTATTGTGCATTTTTTATGAACGATGTTAAGTTCACATTCTATTGTCGCTCGATCTTTGGATACTCACTCAATTGTCGTAGAAAGGAATTAATATATTCTTATCTGAAAAAGTTTTCAAAAGAAGAGGCCCGAAGACAAAAAAGTTTGAATTAGTTGAGTATTTTTGTTATCTTGAAAACGGATTTTGTGATTTGAACCACACTAAAGACTATGATTGAGAGGAAGCACAAGGTTAGGAATGCACCCCCTCATTTTTCTCCCAATACCTAAGATTCATGACACATGATTTACCTCTTTATTGTTAAGTGTTTTTGAGATTTGATAACAAAAAGAAGTTTTAGTCTTAAATACAATGCAGAAGGGAATAGCAAAAATCTAAGAGAAACCCAAGTCTTAATGTTGTCATGTACAATGGTCTTAAAGTTAGGATAACAAAGAAAAAACTAATTAAGAGTTGTCATGCTTGAATTAAAGGCCTAAGATATAATTAATTCAATTTAATAAAGAAATTAAAATTGAATTAACAATCTTAAGAAATCATGATAAGAAGCAAGAAGCACAAACAATCAAACAATTTATTACTCAAACATTATTTATATCATAAATTGCAAACAAAGTAATAGCCAAATTAATATACAAAATTAACTACAAATAATTAAGAAAAATAATAGGATAAAATTTAATTAATTTCTTTAAAAAAACTTCTAATAAGTCTAAACTATTTTTTATATCATTTAATCATGAAAAGAAAATTAAAATCAACTCATGAAAGCACAACTATTTTCTACTATTTTTTTGTCATTTTTAAATCATGAAAAGAATTTAAAACAAAATATAAAAAATTAACGAAAACAAAAAAGAAATTGAGAAGTCCAAAGACGTGCAAGGTTGAAATCAGGTGGTGTGGTGTAGCAAATTGGATGCTAGGATTAAACTTCTTTTATTCAATTTGCTGAAATTATAAACCAAAAAATGGGGCGTGCAAAGGAAATAGTTTGGATTGTGTGGATAAAAAAAATGAGAATTTTTCTTTATATTTAGTATTGTTGAATTAAACTTTGAAAACCAAAAAATATCATTTCGGTATACACATTCGAACGCATCTTGCGAATTTGGAATATTTGATTATTTCTGATATACATATCTGAACGAACTCATATATTTTATTTTCAGAGATATTTTGAATATGCATATCCGAAATCACCTATTATCCTAATTTTTTTTAAAAAATATTTATTTATAATATAGTGATAATATAATTAAATTGAGTTATTATTAATAAATAATAACTTAAATTTATAATTAAAAATGGGGGTGTGCACAGGAAATACGCGTGGAGTGTGTGGATAAAAAAATGAGAATTTCTCTTTACACTTAGTATTGTTGAATTAAACTTCTGAAAACCAAAAAATACCATTCCGGTATACACATTCGAAAGCATCTTACGAATTTGAGATATTTGATTATTTCAGATATACATATTCGAACGAACCCCTATATTTCATTTTCAGAGATATTTTGGATATGCATATCCGAAATCACCTATTATCCCAATTTTTTTTTAAATATTTATTTATAATATAGTGATAATATAATTAAATTGAGTTATTATTAATAAAGAATACCTTAAATTTATACTTGAAAATTAAATATTAAAGTAAGTTTATGATATGAAATTAAATAATAAATACAATAGTTAAATTTCTAATTATAATGGTGAAATGTAATTGTCTTTCAATTTTTTATTTAAGATTATGAATAATTTTTTATAAAAAATATTTTTTAATTATAATTTTAAAAGTTAAATTTAATTTAGATGATACTTTTTATTTTTTATTATAAAATTGATAATTAGTTATTATGTTTAATTAGAAAATTAATTATATTAAATAAATATTTTTATGTAATTAATATAAACACACTAAAAATATATAAAATTTATTTAAATAATTGATAAGGTAATACAATTAATATAATTGATACACATTGATTCTAATTGTTGGAATACTTCTAATATGTATATCTGAAAACTCTTATAGACGGAATATTAGATTATTTTAGATATACATACCCAAACACACCTTTAAAAAACTGAAATTGGGTTATTTCGGGATATTCATATCCGAAAACCCCTAAAAATAAAATATTGAGTTATTTTGAATATGCATATTCGAAAACACCTTTAAAAAATTGAAATTTGGTGCGTCTGTATATGCATATCCGAATTCTAGAAGTATTTTGTGATTTTCGCCAAAGGCCTGAAAGAAATGTAGTAGGTGTAAAGAGAAATTACTAAAAAAACGGAATGGACTGGATTATGGGTCAAATGCCCAAAACAATTTTATTGTTATTAAACATAACACAAAAAAGTGGTACATGGTATGAAAAAAAAGAGTTAGGCTTAGGGTATGAGTTGGGGCGGATTGAGTTTATTGGTTAAAGACCCACATGACTAAATAGAAAGAAAAAAAAAAGAAAATATAATTTCTTATGGCACCCTATATAAGAGAAAAATACCCTATGCAAACCCGAAAATACCTCTCGAAAATGCATTTATGAGGCGCAGCATTCGCTTATCAACACAGACAAATTTTCGTGACTCTCTTATGTAACGTTAGAAACATACTAGAAATGTAACATCAGAATAAAATTGGAGATACACATCCGAGAAATTTGTGCGGGAAAAAGCAAAAAAAATTCCACCTATAAACTGAATATACATTTCCGGTTTAGACTGCGAATCCAAAAGCTTAAAATAGCAAGGTCCATAGGGTATTGATCATGGCCA